GTGCTTCCGTCATCATTGCTGTGGACGACAGTCGCATCCAGTTTGCCACATGGAGTGTGCCTCTGCTGCCGTCCAAGGACACCAGCCACCTCTTCCTCTACGCCAGCACCACGACCTCCCAACAAGCCACGGCGCTTGCGGGGGAGCTCGTGCACAGCAGCGATGGGGAAGCCGAGGATGCTGACGAGGGCGCCTCTGCACACGACGTGCTAGGCCATCGCAGCAGCGCCGCTGTCGACGCCATCCGGCAGCAGATCGCCCAGGCCTCTTCCAAGCACATCGTCACCTGTGGACCATGTGCGCTTGGCAAGAGCACGCGCGCCTCCATCCCGAAGCAGTCTGCTCCACGCAGCGCTGGGCCATGCCAGCTGCTCTACGCCGACATCGCCGGTCCGCTGGAGGAGACGTCGCTGCGAGGTGCACGCTACGCGCTGACCTTCATCGACGACTGCACGCGTTTCGCCTGGACGTTTCTCATCCGGCACAAGAACGACGTCGGTGCGGCCCTGGAGCAGCTGCGCAAGGACCGTCACGTCATCAACGCGCTCCGAGGCGCCACGCTGCAGACGGACAGCGACGCCGTCTTCAAGAGCCAGGACTTCACCGACCTGTGCGTGGCCTTCGACATCAAGCAGCGCTTCTCGCCACCGCACTCGCAGGCCAAGAACGGATCCGCGGAGCGCACCTTCCGCACCCTCTTCGAGACGGCGCGTACGATGCTGTTTGCTGCGGACCTGGACAAGCCGTTCTGGGGCTTCGCCGTGCAGCACGCCACGCTGCTGCACAACATCGCTCCACGCAGGAGCCTCAAGGACAAGTCACCGTTCGAGGCCCTGACTGGGCACCCCTTTGACGTCAGCCTGCTGCGCGTCTTCGGCTCGCCGGCCTACGTGCATGTGGAGAAGAGCAGCACGCGGCACAAGCTTGACCCACGCTCACGCGTCGGCGTCTACGTCGGCTTCGCCGAGGAGGACCAGGCGCACGTCGTCTGGATGCCGGACACGCGACGCGTTGTCCACACCATCCACGCTCGCTTCGGCGCCATCAAGAACAAGGACGTCGCCTCCTCTCAGCAGCAGCAAGAGCAGGACAACAGCGGTGCCTCTGCTTCGCATGCCAACAATACCGCTCAGCGTTCGACCGAGGACAGTGCCACCGGCGCTCCCACTGCACCACGTGCGGGGGAGCCGCAGCTCCAGCCACGCGCCCTTGGCGGTTCCGTCTGGGACCAGCTGCTGTTGTCCGAGACCCTCGGCGATAAGGACACCTCTGGTGGCTCAACCACCACGTGTCACGTTGCCACCAGCGCTGCTGGTACGGGGGAGAAGACATCAGCAGTGGGTGGTCATCTACCAGACATCGCTGCTGACAGTGCTGTCACGTCAGCTGAGCCAGCCACCGTCAAGGAGGCGCTTGCCTCGCCAGACTCTGAGGAGTGCGCCAAGCCATCCTGACGAGTTTGCGGCAATGCAGGCCAATGACGTCTACGACGTCGTGCCTCGCGCTGACTTCCAGGGCACAGCTGCTCGCAGCATGTCATCTTCGGAGAGCTGACGACAGGACCAGGGCAAGGTGAT